ATCAACTTACGAATATAAATATTTGCTAAATAGGGTAGATTGTCAAATGGAAATACGAGAGCAATTACTTACTTACCTTGCAATGGTTTTTGCATCAAATCCACAAAAATGCAATTTGTCAAACAGGGTAAAATGTAATAAATAATCCAAGTACGATCCGAGTCACAAAAATGCTATTAGTTAATCGAAATTATTTTTCAAACCACGAATATAGGTAAAAAAAAAAAGATAGACTCTAAAATCGTTGTGAGTGCCATTAGCCTATCTATATATACCATGTACTCATCGGTGGTTTCGATATGATCTTGCAAGCCATCAACAGAGTATACACTAAATTTTCTTTGGGCTCTCAAAAATCGTTGTATTTAGATCAAGATTATCATATAAACCTATGAAATTTCAAAGAATCCAAAATTTCTTAGGACTATATAAATACAAAATTACTGGTTGTTATTATACTGGAGTCCATTCCATTAACTCTCTGAAACAATTGCATTATGTGTCTTAGATTTATTTGTATTTTTGTAAGCATGGTACAATATGGTCTATTCAGAATATACATTGTTAATTTTCTCTTTGCAACAAGCAAAGTACATTCTATTACAATTTCAATTTTATCTTTATTACTCAAACTGATCTTCGATGTAAAAGAAATATGTTCTCTTTCATAGGCGACCCAACAAGGTCCTAGACTAATGATGTGTCTGTGGTGAGGGGAGGGGGTATAAAATGACCAACTGTGTGAACATATTATCACCAAATATTATTGCCAAAGTTTAATTGCAAGCTGTATGAAACACCAAGCATCACATCATATATTCTAGAGAGTGGTCTACTGTTGTACTATTGTCTGTTTATAGAAGCACCAGACTTCACCCAACTCCAGGTTATATTCTAGAGAGTCCACTGTTGTATTATTGTCGTGTTTACAGAAATACCAGACATAACCTAACTCTGGATTATATTCCAGTGGGTGGTTCACTGTTGAATTATTGTCTGTTTATAGAAACAACAGACATCACATAACTCTGGGTTATATTCTAGGGTGTGGTTCACTGTTGAATTATTGTCTGTTTATAGAAGCACCAGACATCACCAAACTCAGGGTTATACTCTAGAGAGTGGTTCACTGGTGTAGTATTGTCTGTTCATAGAAACAACAGACATCACCTAACTCTGGAAAAAACTCAAGATAGTGAACCATTGTTGTACTATTACAAGCCTTTAAAAACCACAATACATCACCTAACCCTGGGTTGATTCCATCTATCAATCAATGATCTGACGATAATGGTGTTAGTCTACTGCTCTGGGTGATTTAATATTCAACCAATCAAATGCTCTGTTCAACAAAAAGATTTCCTTAATACATGTGAGGTATTTTGTAATATTCATTGTTAAATATTCTGTATTGTCTAACCACTTTTAAAAGGATTTGGATTGGTTAGTATAAATTATGATAACTTTTAATGCTATTGAGTCTCCACTGAACACAATTTGAAAAGAATCTTGTCAGATCATGAATGTAAAGTTAAGTAACCTTCAGAAAAACATGAAACAAATGATCCAGATTTTAATCAGATTAACATTGAAAAGGTCAATATGGTAACTATATGCACAAAAGCAGACCATTCTCTCGAGGTGATAAGACCCAAAATGCTGAATGATAAACTTGTGGCCTTTGCCAGTGCTTCTCTAGGAGAGTATCTTCTATTATACCCAACATTTAATTAGGCCCAAAAGTTGAAAGTTAAACCCAAAATTTAATTAGGCCCAAACTATTGAATGATCGTTCAAAATTTAATTAGGCCCAAAGTGTAGAATGAACAACCAAAATTTAATTTGACCCAACATATTAATTGATAAAGGAAAATTTAATTAGACCAATATGTTGACTGATAAACCAAAATAGAATTAGGTCCAAAATACTGTATGATAAACCATAATTATATAAAAAATTAAATTAATAAAAGACCTTTCCTTTGTAGCTATGAGTATCTATTCTATACACAGTCATGAGGAGTATATTAGGTACAGGGTGGTTGAATTAAATATCTCATTTCATACAATTAAATCAAGATATAGGTGTTGTACTGGTTTTTTGGGGTCTTTTAAGATGGGTGGTTTTTAAGTCTGGGGAGGGGGGGGGGGCGGTGTCTTCGAAAGAGTTGAGGATATTATTATCTGGATTAAATTTATTTAAAACAACTGACAATGCGAATATTAGGCCTACTATTTTAGTATGCAAGTTTTTATTCGTATATCAAGATTGGAATATAATTTATTGAAATATCCATATAATAATCTAAAAGATGAAAAAGAATGTTTTTTATAGCAATGAAGTTTATAAAACAAAGATTATCCTTAAGTATAAATATAAAGGTCTAATGATAATTAAAGGTAAAAAAGATTGATGAATCTATATAACGTAGACAGGAATGGTTATTTTAATAATTCTTACTTTGAAGTTGAGGTTGTTCTCTAGACCTCGAAGTCAATACAAATGAGTAGTTTGTGACTGACTTTTGCAACTAGTTGAAAAATTGCAATTTCGACTAGTGGAACAAAATGTGACTGATATTTTCAACTGCTATGTTAATAAATCAATGTGCTATTCAGTTATTAACTATATAATTTTATGTATATTACATATGCAGAACATACTTGAATGTATTCAGCTAACTGTTCAATTAAGGAACTTTCAAAGATATGCATTTAATTCATGATGCTAAATGTCACTAATAGTCTAATACAATATAATATTCCATGCATGATAAAAGCTTGATTGTTGATTCAAAATCAGTATCGCTCACTTTCTCTTTAGGACCCTTTAACTAAACTTTCCAGACAGCTAAGCTAAAAAAAAATACAAGTAGTGAGCACCATGTTTTATTTTACAATAACTTGCATAAGGGTTTTCAACTAGCTGGAAAAAAAAATCGACGACGACTGGTGAATAAAATATGACTGACGATTTCGACTAATTGTGACGACTTCGGGGTCTATTGCTCTCCCTTTAATTTCCTTAGATCTCAAACAATCACAAACACAAGACAATATTATGGAATAAACGAACTTCTTTGATAAAAAATTAACACATAACGTTATTTCATCTTATGACGACACAATATGTAAGTTGTATTGAAACGTTATGTGCTTATTTTTTTTTTAAAGAAGTGTCCGTATTCCATAATAGTATCTTGTGTTTGTGATATGTACTCCTCACTTGTACATGTCGTTCATATCTTATACTTCAAACAAACTTTAGATTCAATATAATAATTTTAAATGAATTTCAAAATAATATAAAAACGATGGCCAAGGTTTTGAACAAATCAAACAATGATATAGAAATTTCATTGGGCAATTAAATCAAGAATTAGGCAATTGGATTACAAGCTCAAAGCGTAGTAACAATTTAAAGTTTTAGACATAAGTAAAGTAATAGTCTAATGTTAAAACAAATTTTTAAAATTGAAATTGGCGCCAATTCTAGTGTATCTGGCAAAAAATTCAGAAAACAATAAACTCATTGTGAGATAGATTCCGAAAAAAGTTCCTGCAACTTGTTCAAATCCTTGGAACGATTCCAAATTTCAGTCGTCTGCTACACCACTATACTGTTAGGTTGACCTGACAACGTGACACAAGAATAATTCTAGGCCAATGATTGGTTAAACTTTGTATCGCCACCATCTCATAGGTGACGGTAAG